GCTTAAGGCAGAGGATAAAACTGGGACACCAAGGGCCACACCCACCATGTGCAAGTGAACTAGAAACAACCTTAACGTTGAGTGGGGTGCCCCTGAAAATTCATAACCGTAAGCCAGTGCTCGTGGATGTGTGATGCCTGAATTCGCACTGTCACCGTGTCCTGGAAAACGAGTCTGAGAACTCACTCTAAAGTCGTCCAGACATGCTGACATCTCCAGGGCCCTGTCAGAGTCACATGATTGCCAGAGAACCACTTTCAATTCCAACAGATACGAACTTGCACTTAAAAAGAACAACAATGCAAAACGGTAGGAGAAAAAACAAAGTACCATGAACCAGGGTCTTAAAAGTTTTTGAACAGCAGAATGAGACCTGCAAAGGCTTGAGATGCTGGAATTATCAGCCACAGAATAGAAAATAGTCATAGTTAGTATATGATGTAAACTTAAAGATTTTAAAGGAATTGAAAATACTAAAATGGCAAGGGCGTTTAAAAATTACCATGCATATTTGTAAAAAAATAAACTCCTAAAAATAAAACAACTGAAATTCAGAATCTGAATGGATTTGAGAGCAGATTACACACAGAAAATATCTAGAACGTAGGCGAGAGGAAAAGATGAAAAATATGAAAGAGAGGTTAGATGAAATGAAAGAATGGGAAGATCTGTGTACATCATGTGAGTTCATAAAGAGTGGAGGTAGAATGGAACAGAGACATTAAATTAATAGGTTAAGCCTGAGAGTCCTGCAGTAGTTATAAAAAACAGATCCAGAGGAGGAGCATGTCCCAATCAGAATAAATAAAAACATATCTACACTTAGAAAAATTAAAAAATTGAAGAATACAAAACACAAAGAGAAGATCTTAAAAGCAGCCAGAGAGACAAAAAAAAATTACCTTCCAATGAATAGCAGCTGACTTTTCAACAACACCCCTAAAAATATTTTCAGATTAGTGAAAACTGAGAGTGCTTGCCACTAAACTTCTTTAAAGAACTTAAAGGGTGCGCTTGGGGCTAAAGGAAAATGCGTGTATGGAAGGTCAGAGTTGCAAGAAGGAATGAGGAGACAAGACAGGGGGAAATATATGGATATATCTAAGCAGCTACTGAATAATTAGCAATTTTGAGTTGATAAAAACGAAATAAACTGAAAATAACAACTCTAGCATATAAATATGGGAGACTGCTACAGGACTTAAAATGTCCTAAGTCTCTTTCGTTGCTTAAGAGCATATAAAAAATAATTAACTTTAAAATTTGATAAGTGAAACATGGGTGTTGAGGCCTCTTACTGTGAGCACTAAAGAAGATATCGTGTATCACTTCCAAACCAGAGAGGAGAAGAAAGCTGAAGGAGGAAAACATTTATTCATTTAGAATAAAAGAAGGAAAAGGGGGGAGAAAAACAAAACATACAGAGCATAGGGCAAACAGCACAAAATAAGAGACAAAATAAAGGCAAATATGTTAGCATGTACAAACTAATGGACTACATTGGAATAAATGCCCCATTTATTTATTTTTTTTTTAACATCTTAATTGGAGTATAATTGCTTTACAATGGTGTGTTAGTTTCTGCTGTATAACAAAGTGAATCAGCTATGTGTATACATATATCCCCATATCTCCTCCGTCTTGCGTCTCCCTCCCACCCTCTCTATCCCACCCCTCTAGGTGGACACAAAGCACCGAGCTGATCTCCCTGTGCTATGCGGCTGCTTCCCACTAGCTAACTATTTTACACTTGGTAGTGTATATATGTCAGTGCTACTCTCTCACTTCGTCCCAGCTTACCTTTCCCTCGCTGTGTCCTCAAATCCATTCTCTACGTCTGCGTCTTTATTCCTGTCCTTCCCCTAGGTTCTTCAGAACCTTTTGTTTTTTTTTTTAGCTTCCATATATATGTGTTAGCATATGGTATTTGTTTTTCTCTTTCTGACTTACTTCACTCTCTATGACAGACCCTAGGTCCATCCACCTCACTACAGATAACTCAATTTCATTTCTTTTTATGGCTGAGTAATATTCCATTGTATATATGTGCCACATCTTTATCCATTCATCTGTTGATGGACACCTAGGTTGCTTCCATGTCCTGGCTATTGTAAACAGAGCTGCAATGAACATTGTGGTATGTGACTCTTTTTGAATTATGGTTTTCTCAGGGTATATGCCCAGTAGTGGGATTGCTGGGTCAGATGTTAGTTCTACTTTTAGTTTTTTTTTTTAAGGAGCCTCCATACTGTTCTCCATAGTGGCTATATCACAGTGCAAGAGGGTTCCCTTTACTCCACACCCTCTCCAGTATTTATTGTTTGCAGATTTTTTTGATGATGGCTATTCTGACTGGTGTGAGGTGATACCTCATTGTAGTTTTGATTTGCATTTCTCTAATGATTAGTGATGTTGAGCGTCCTTTCATGTGTTTGTTGGCAGTCTGTGTATCTTCTTTGAAGAGATGTCTATTTAGGTCTTCTGCCCATTTTGGGGTTGGGTTGTTTGCTTTTTGATATTGAGCTGCATGAGCTGCTTGAAAATTTTGGGGATTAACCCTTTGTCAGTTGCTTCGTTTGCAAATATTTTCTCCCATTTTGAGGGTTGTCTTTTCATCTCGTCTATGGTTTCCTCTGCTGTGCAAAACCTTTTACGTTGCCTTAAGTCCCACTTGTTTATTTTTGTTTTTATTTCCGTTTCTCCAGGAGGTGAGTCAAAAAGGAACTTGCTGTGATTTATGTCATAGAGTGTTCTGCCTCTAAGAGTTTTATAGTGTCTGGCCTTACATTTAGGTCTTTAATCCATTTGGAGTTTATTTTTGTGTATGGTGTTAAGGAGTGTTCTAATTTCATTCTTTTACATGTAGCTGTCCAGTTCTCTCAGCACCACTTATTGAAGTCTTTTCTCCATTGTATATTCTTGACTCCTTTATCAAAGATAAGGTGACCATATGTGCGTGGGTTTATCTCTGGGCCTTCTATCCTTCCATTGATCTGTATTTCTGTTTTTTGTGCCAGTACCATACTGTCTTGATTACTGTAGCTTTGTAGTGTAGTCTGAAGTCAGGGAGTCTGATTCCTCCAGCTCCATTTTTCTTTCTGAAGATTGCTTTGGCTATTTGGAGTCTTTTGTGTTTCCATACGAACTGTGAAATTTTTTGTTCTAATTCTGTGAAAAATGCCATTGGTAGTTTGATAGGGGTTGCACTGAATCTGTAGATTGCTTTGGATAGTATAGTCATTTTCACAGTGTTGATTCTTCCAATCCAAGAACATGATATATCTCTCCATCTGTTTGTATCATCTTTAATTTCTTTCATCAGTGTCTTATAGTTTTCTGCATACAGGTCTTTTGTCTCCTTACGTAGGTTTATTCCTAGGTATTTTATTCTTTTTGTTGCAATGGTAAGTGAGAGTGTTTCCTTAATTTCTCTTTCAGATTTTTCATCGTTAGTGTATAGGAATGCAAGAGATTTCTGTGTAAATGCCCCATTTAAAAGACAAACTTTGATGAGATTTTTAAAAGAAGTTTCCAAAATATATGCTATTTATAAGATATATAGCTAAAACTTGAGGGTACAAAAAGGTTTAAAAGCGTGGATAAAAATATACCACACGGGCTTCCCTGGTGGCGCAGTGGTTGAGAGTCCGCCTGCCGATGCAGGGGACACGGGTTCATGCCCCGGTCCGGGAAGATTCTACATGCTGTAGAGCGGCTGGGCCCGTGAGCCATGGCTGCTGAACCTGCGCATCCGGAGCCTGTGCTCCACAACGGGACAGGCCACAACAGTGAGAGGCCCGCGTACCGCAAAAAAAAAAAATTGTACAACTGGCCATCAAGCAATCTCAAAAATTTTCAAAGAAGTAACGTAGTATAGAGTACATTCTCTGGCCACAATGCAGTTAGAAGTGAATAACAAAAAGACAGTCATTAAACTTCACATCCTAAATTGGTTGTTGTCCCTCTAAAATTTCATATCCACCCAGAAGCTGGGAGTGTGACTCTGTTTGGAAATAGGGTCTTTGCAGATGTAATCAAGTTAAATGAGGTCGTGCTCGATTAGGGGGAGCCCTAAGTCCAAGGTGACCATTATCCTTAAAAGAAGAGGGAAATTTGGACACAGAGATACAGACACACAAGCACAGCCACGAGGAGATGGGGGCAGAGGCTGGAGCAGCGCATCGAGAAGGCAAGGATGGCAAGCAGCCACCGAAAGCTGGGGGAGACTCTGCCTCAGAGCCTCCAGAAGGAGCCTGCCCTGCCAGCACCTTGCTTTCAGACTTGCAGCCTCTAGAACTCTGAGAGAATAAACGTAGTCTTAGGCCACCCAGCTTTTCGTACTTTGTTGGGACAGCTCTAGGAAACTAGTATACCCCATAGGTTTGGGAATTAAGAAACATACTTCTAAGTAGATCATAAGTCAAAGAAAAAAATAAAAATGGAAGTTCAAAATGTTTTGAATTAAATGGTAATGAAAATGTCGTGTATCTAAACCTAAGAGATTAAACTTAAGCAATGGTAGAGCGGTATTTATAGTCTTAAGTTTATATAAATCAGGAAAGAAGAAAGGATAAAAATAAATGAGTTAAATATCCAAGATAAGAAGTTAGAAGAATAAAAAACCCATGAATGTAGAATGAGGGACATAACAAACATAAGAGCAGAAATCAATGAAATAAAAACAAAAAATACAGTAGCAAGTACTAGACGAATCTTAGAAACATAATGTCGCCTATTTGAAGAAGCAAGTTGCAGAAGAGTACATGTAATATTCCATTTACATAGGTGTTTGAAACAAGTAAAACTAAATGTGATGTATGTGGTAAACGGTTTTAGGTAGGATCTCTGTCTGAGCTAGAACGGGTGGCATGGGATTGGAGAAGGAGGGAAGCAGGAGGAAGGAAGCAGTGAACTTCCTTTGTTTGGTAGCCTTTTGCAGTTCTTCTTTTATGGCTCTCCTAGTCATATCCTGTGACCATTTTTCCATTTTTAAAAACAAGGTTATTGCTGACATGGAGACACAAGTCCACAAGTTGAGAGAAGAGCTGATCAGCGTGAACTCCCAGCGGAAGCAGCAGCTGGTGGAGCTCGGTCTTCTTCGTGAAGAGGAGAAGCAAAGGACTGCTCGGGACCATGAGGCTGCCGTCAACAAACTGAAGGCTGAGTCAGAAAAGATGAAAATAGAGCTGAAAAAGACTCATGCCGCTGAGACAGAGATGACGCTGGAAAAGGTAAGATGCCCTCCTGGATGTGTTATAGACAGTCGAGACCCGTGTTTGAAATCCACTGATGCCACCGTTATATTTAATCTCGAAGAGGCGGTGGACTTAGAATTACTCTCCAGTTGATAAGCCATTCAAATGAGCAGTCTAAGTGTCTTGCTGTATGTCTCAGGGAGTTTCCTGACTTTTCCCTTGACTTTTGTGGAAGGGATTGTATGGAATATCCCTTCCATAGTTATTAAACATACACTGTGAGAAAAGTGTTATAATATTATCAAATATTATACTGACTAGGAGTATTTGGGCTGTAACCTTGAGTTTTTCCTAAGGTAAGACTAGGTTTCAGATCTTTCTTATGTTGTCTAATGGTCATTTCTAGATTTTACAGTTTTTTATGTGTCCCATAGATGATGACATATTTTCCCAGATTGATATTTCAAATAAAGGACTTTCTTTAGAATTACACATTTTTGAAATATATGTCAATATAATGTTTACACATTTTGAGTTGACTTATATTCCAGAGACAGCCTCAAATATTTGTTCTTCTGGTGTTCTGGGAAAGTGTAAATATTTTAATCAGGTAGTAAAAGTGAATTGCTGTTAATCATCACAACTGTCAACTGCCCCTTGAGTTCTTTAAGACCAACCTCTATCCTGGGATCAAGACACTGGGAAAGGGTAATTTAAGAATCTTCTGATTTTATTTTTTTCCTACCTCTTCTTGATCGTTAAATGGGAAGCCTTCATAGAGCATACCATGCCATTCTAGGTTCTGCTCTACTGATTTTACCTGGATCGTGGCCCTAAGGTGCTCACTTTGCATCAGTACCGTCACTTACCTGAGGGTCAGATTTCAGCAGACTGGGCCCATGGCAGCCTGGCTCTGAACCCAGAGATAAACCGGAAAAGGGCTCTGAAGAGGCAGGAGTGAAGAGGCAGGAGTGCATCTGGCTTCCTGGAGGGACCGCAAGGAGGCCGGTGTGGCTGGGAAAGACGGAGGAGGGGAGGACGAGGGGCTGAGGTCAGGGACGAGGCCTCTGGGGACGGACCGGGCCCCGTAGGGCTGTGGAGGCCACTGCAAGGGCTTGGCTTTGACCTCCATAAGTAGAGGAAGCCTGGCAGATTTGGAGCAGAGGGCTCTCGGGCCACGCCCGCCTGCCGAGGGTGAAGGTGGAAGTGGGGAGACTAGTTAAAAAGCTATTGCAGTGATTTAGACCAGAGTTGAGAGATGCTGGGCTTGGCCAGTAGCACTGAAGGTGGTACACGGGTCCGGCTGGGTTACGGTCTGATGGTCTGCAGGCAGAGCTGACGGGATCTGCTTTGGGTTCAGGCGTGGGAGTGGGGGGCGGGGTCGGGGAAGAGGCGGAGGGCGAGAGAACGTGTGAGTGAGTCGCCCAGCGTGATTCCAAGGTGACTTGCTGGAGCCACGAAGCAAGCGGAGTTACGTGCCCTTTGCTGTGTGTGAGAGACGGCGAGAGCTGTGCAGGCCACAGGGACACGACCTGGCTGAGGGCCCTTCATACCCCAGTGAGGATGCTAGCGGTCATTCCAGCAGAGCAGCGCAGAATCGTGCTCTTTGATGCCAAAGTATACAAGGTGTCAGGAACTGGGGAATGTCCTGATACCGAGTAGTTTTAGCCCCCTGACAAGCGCACAGGAGAGACCGATGGGGAAGCTGCTGGGCACTGACACACACCGCACCTCAGCTCTGCTCACTGCCACCAAAAGTTCAAAGTATCTCCAAGTAAATGTGCTTAAATGGCACGGATACCAGTGCACCTCGATTTTTTAAAACACTGGACATAGTAAAGCCAGACTTATAAAACATACAGTTTAGGCCTTCATTTTCTTGAATCATGTGTTCACATATTAAAGGTTTCTTTTAATAGGAGATGAATTTTTCAAGTATAGGTTTATATGTGTTACTAGCAAATTGATAGGTTACAGATAATAAAAGAAATTAGTATTAGAAGCCATCAGTAATTTCTTTGGCAAGTATTTCTTGAATATTTTCTATATCTCAAAGGCATTATCCCAGGCACTTTGGGGCTACACAGAAAAAGGGGAAAAAAGGCACTGTCCTTAAGCAGATTATAAAACAGTAGTGGCTGCAGGACACACACACGTACACAGATAACTGTAATGCAAGGTAGAGTGTGAACTGGGGGGAAATGATTTTCTATTAAGAAAATCAGGGGAAATTACCTGGAAGAGATGGATGTCACTTGAACTGGACACGGGTAATGTGTAGGATTTTCTAGTAGGTTCTAAGCCACAGGAATGACAACAGCAAGAGCCATGTACGTGGCATAGCGGCTACCAAGGGAGAGTGGTCAGCGACGAGCCTGGAGACGGCGGGGGGCGCCGGAGGCCTCCGAAGCTGTGGTGGGGATTAGGCTTCACGGGGTAACAGTGAGGAGGTACTGAAGGTTTTTTCTTTTTTTTTTTTTTTTTTTTGGGGGTCGGGGGGCTTCTTGCTGTGGCCTCTCCCGCTGCGGAGCACAGGCTCCGGACGCGCAGGTTCAGCGGCCATGGCTCACGGGCCCAGCTGCTCTGCGGCATGTGGGATCTTCTCGGACCGGGGCACGAACCCGCGTCCGCTGCATCGGCAGGCGGACTGTCAACCACTGCGCCACCAGGGAAGCCCAAGTACTGAAGGTTTTTAAGCCATGAAGTGTCAAGATTCAAGCGGTTATTAGGAGAATCTTTCCAAGGTGCCGTGGAGTAGAGGTAGTTGGCAGGACTGGATTAATCCAGGTGACAGGTCCCCGAGGGCACCTCAGAGGTACGGGAATGTGGTGGGGGCCTCGTGGTGAGCACGGGCCAGAGGAGGCGTGTTTGAGAGTCAGCCCAGCCAGGGCACCGATTAGACTTGTGAGGTGTAAACCCCGCCCTGGATGAATGGGGAATGTCGCAGTCTCTGGTCTGGGGAAGAGGATAAAGTCGGTTATGAACGTCAGTTGCATTTGGACCCAGCTGTGACGTTCCCTTGCGGTCGAAGGGACGTCTGTAGCTAATCCCAGGAAGAGCAGGACCGGAGGAGTAGCTCCAGAATGGAGCCTGCGCAGGGAGAGTACAGACGGAAAACCAGCAGCTGGGGAGGACTTCATCGGTGAAGTCGGAGAGATGGTCCAAGAAGGGCCCTTACGGTGAGAGGGACGCGAGAAAGAAGGCATTTTCATAGGAAGGAAGGAGGAGAGTATTTGGAAGGAGGCTTGCCAAGAATGCGACAGAAGACCCGGAAGGATGAGGGTCAGAGAAGGGCCCCAGGATTGGAAACCGAGAATCGTTGATGACCTTGGACGGATCGCTGCAGGTGGCGGTGTGGCCGGAGCACGGCTGCAGGGGTCAGGGAGGGGGGAGCGAGGGGCTGGAGATGAGGGGAAGCCTGACGCTCCAGGGAGGTGTCACCCGGAGAGCAGCGGGAGTTACGGAGGGCGCTTAGGTGGAAACACCTGGAAATGCCTGGAAGAGGGAGAGAGAGACGAGAGACCCGCACACCACTGTGGCCTGTGACCCGAGCGGCGAGGGCGTGAACGCGGCAGGCAGGGCTCTGCTCCTGGGACCCGCCTCGCTCTCCCTGCCTGGGATGCTCTCGCGCACGTTCTCCTATAGTCGTCCTCCCGCTTGTCCCCCGCTCTCCTTGCAGCCCCACCTCTAGCTGACGTCCTGTCCCCCTCCCTCCTCAGCACCTCCCGAGGTCTTCACAGCTCGTCTCACTCTCTAATACATCTTCATTTTTTTACTTATTTGCAACGCCCACCCCCATTACATAACCTCATTAGCAGGACCTTGTCTATCTCGTTCATTTCTGTACTGCCAGTGTCTAGAAAACTTGGCCCATGGTGGGTGCTCACCTGTGTATGTTAAGGACGGGATGGCAGGAGCCGTGACTTTCTAGGGGGAAGAAGGAAGGAGAGAATTGGGAAGGATACAAAGGAGTCTGTGACGAGACTCGAGAAGAGCTTCTGTCTGATGTCATCTGGATCCTTAGTAAAGTATCACCGCAGTCTGTGCAGTCTGAGGAATTTCAAGACAAGCGGGACCCCCGGGCCGCAGGCTGAGCAGGTGGCTGGGATGCAGCTGAAGGAAGGGGATGGAGGGAACGTGCACGGGTAGGATTGGGGTTCTGCAGGGAGAGAACAGAGCATGGCGGGGTGAGTCTGGAAGAATGGAATGCCCTGAACTGAACTGAGGACACAAGTGATCCAGGAAGATAGCAGCGGGGTTTAAGTGGAGTGATTTTAGCTGACGTGGATAATGAATTAGAATGCAGGCACTTGGTGGCATCAGGAGGGCCTGGGGGACAGGAGGAGAGCATTAAGTTGCCATGTTGGTGCCATGAGTTCCAGAGTCCGTATGATGAAATACAAGTGCTCTGCTCTTGATGCGAAGAGTAATTTGCATTTCCCGTCGGTGTGTATTTTTCCTTAACTAGTTGAAGGAGCTCCGCACGCACTGAGGACAGCACTGTGAGCTCCCTGACACAGTCCTTGTGAAATATTCGTTTCCAAAGCCTCAGGAGCACGCATGGTGCCTCGTACAAAGTAGACATTCGTACATGTTAAGTGAATAAAAGAATGATGATGGACTTAGAAATTCAGTTCTACAGTTTCTGCTACTGTGAATGGTAATATGAATAAATAAAAAATTGCCATTGATTCATCCAAGTTTGGTTTCAACCCAGTATATGTACTTTGGGTAGGACAAGATACACCTTTATATTCAAATATTCATTTTTTATTGTTGTAATTCCCTTCATATTAGTAAGTTAAATGCAAAGCATAACATTTTTTAAAGATAGTTTTAAAAATTAATAGATATTTGAGTTCTCACTATAAAAATTTGAATTAGCTCTAATGAATTGATAGATAATTCTCTTGCTAGCCTGTTGTGTCATCGTGCATGTTACTTGAATTCTTCTCACTATGTCTTATAAAAGGTTTAATGTTTTATCATTTTTAAATAAATCTGAAAGTTAAAATATTTGCTAGTGTTTCAAACTC